CCGAATCTCAGATGGCTCAGGTGCATTGAAGCGCTTTTCTGCATATCAGGTTTTTTTGGCTCTCGGTTCATGCCTGCAAACTGAGTGCTTTCACGTCCAGACAGCTTGGATATAGGTCTCTATCCACGATGCGTGCAAAGAGTAAGTAATAGCACTCTGCTCCATATGCAGAAGCAGTGTTGCTTGGTTTTCATAACAATTTTTCACCAATTACATCATTCATTCTTCCCTCAGAGGTGAGAAAAAGAAGAATTTCTGGCCTCCTTTTGCAGATGAGAAAAACAAGATAAGAGCTGTCAAGTGCTACAGCCTCATGCCCGCGTCTCTGTCCCCAGTTCTGGGCTCTCCACAAGCCCATGTTCCTCTTTCCTCCTGATCCTTACCTCCTGCTCCTGCCCTCACCACCACCACCAGCACAATGGGCACTTGACTTTCATACCATCAGAAGCTTTGGATGATTAGAAAATTAGACAGAAATGAAAGTAGGTCAGGATCTGATAAAAACAGCTTTTTCCCTGTACATTAGGACCTCAAGCAATATCGACCCAGAAATTGCTGTTATTCTGCAGATTTATTGCACTTCATTCCACACAGACATACAACCAGGCAAAATAAAAACCTCCTAGCCTACAACCCAAATCCCCGCCCAAATCTAAGGAGAGAACCAGGGCAGAATAGTATTTGGTTCTGTGTAGAGCCTTTTGTTATGGGGCCTGTACAGTGTGGCGAACCTATGACACATGAGTTGTGTTTTCCTTTTAAGACAAAATATTTTAATTAGACTTGTTTCTTCTAAACTAAAACCTCAGTACTCAGGTTTAATTGCAATGTTGGCAGTTTGCCGGTAAGTGGGTTTGGGATTGCAATTTGGCACCCAGTCTCTAAAAGTTCTCCATCACTGGGCCTGGCTATTTGGGAGCAGGGACCAACCAAGTGAAGGCACTGGGTGGTGAATAGGTAGAGAGAACATATGCTGATGAGGGCCTGTTAGCAGAAGGGCTGGGAGCTCTGCTTTTGCACGTCTGCCTCCCCGTCCTCGGAGGACTGTCCTTCATTGTGGTCATCTGTGACGGCAGCAAGAACATGGCACACTGGAGAGGTGGAGTGAGGAAGCCTTGTGCTCCCCCTGTGGCTACAGTGAGGCGGTGTGGTATACGGCATCCCGAGCAACATGGAAGGCCGGCAGAGGGCTTGCTGTGTGGGCCAATATTTGTCAGTATTTGGCCTTTTATTGAGTACCAATCCATTGGCTGTCCTAAGTTAAGTTGCTGTATTTCCCACTATGCAATGTCCCGAGTAGGGAGCACTTCAGCAAGACAGGTCTTTTAGTGTTGTGCTTTTCATAGGTTTAAGTTGGGGTGCTTTTTTGTCCCTTCTAAATGGCAGCCAAATATCGACTGATCTCTAGCTTATTGGACTGGCATGTATAGCTGTGGGCTGACAAAAAGCTCTCTGGCTATCAGTGTCCCCTGATTGAGAGCAGTTTCTTCTTCTCTGACAGTGGGAGAAGCGTCCATTGGGAACCCTGGGGGCACCTTCATGAAGGTGTTAGAAGCCCGGAAGATGAGCACCAGCACCGAGCTGACTATTGGCTCTGAAAAGTCATCTTCAGAGAAAGGCAGTATCGACTCCTCAGGCTTTATGAAAGAGCAGCTAGACATTAACGATGAAAGTGACATCATTAGTGCACTAAGTTACCTGTTGCCGTACTTCTCACAGGGAAACCTAGAAGGTGCAGAGTCAACAGTATTACCATTCATTCAGATGCTTTTTTCAAATACACAAGATGGAGACAATTCCCTGGGTTATTTGAAAAACAACACAAAGAACTCTTCTTTTCTGCCTGCATCCCACAGTTCATCTTTCACAAGGAACCTGCAGAAGCTGTATTCTCTGCAGAAATTTTTAGATGCAGAAATTCAAGAAAAAGTAGATGAGGTGAAAAAGAGAAAACTGCCATGCTTATGCAGTCTAGCCTTTTTGGTCCCATATTCAGGCGCCAAATCTTTCCAAAGAAGTTGGAAAGTGCTCAAGCACAGGAAAACAGCCTGGCAGAGGTTTGGCGTGGAAGGAAAAGGCTTCAAAGAGCGGAGAAAGTCATTGGGAGAAACAGAAGAAATGATTTAACTCATAGCATTTTCATTTTAGAAAATGCAAAATCTAGAGTTAAAACCATGAAGGATCCTAAATGAATCTTACATTCTGGAAAAGTCCACCGCTTTCACAAATTTCAATCTCTCATGGCCCAGAGAACACCCAAGGCCAAACTGAGAGAACAGTTGAGAAAGGAAAACACACACAGTAGACTAATGCTTATACAGAGGCCTCAGTTTTCAGCAGTGAGGAGCCTTGTCAATTCCCCTTCAAGACGGTTCTCATCTTCAGGAGACCTGGATTTTCAGAAGACTCTTGTCTCCGAATTATATGCTCCTTTAGGTGCTTCAGTGGAACACGCTCCTATAGAAAACCATGCCCTAGATGATTTTCAAGGAGAGGATTTTGCATTAAACATTAATATGCCAGAAGAAAATCTCTCTGAAAAGACAACTCACAAGAATCCTTCCGCTGCAGACTCTTCTGTGACTGCATTCAACCCAATGCCAGCTGTGCACCAGACCAGGAAGGCACAATGGGAACACCTCAACACATTCACTGAGACACCCCACAAAGACTTTGCTTCTCTCTTGCTGTCATTCCCAGGTGATCAGTTCGAAACTTACCTAAACCAACATCTCCAGCCATTTATCCCAAACCATGACATAAGAAGGCTGATTTCCCAAGTCATCTTGACTTTAAAGATGGACTGCTCTGAAGCTCACGTGCAACTGGCCTGTGCCAAGCTCATCTCTTAAAACGGGCCTCCTGATGAAGCTTCTCAGTGAGCAGCAAAATGTTAGTATGCCCATGGCCCAATGGGATGCAGACCACTGGAAAAATGAGAACTCTTATCAGTGACAGCGCAGCAGGCCAGGGTGAAGAGCAGGAGGAGCAGGAGTCGAGGCAGGTGAGGACAACTGCCCAACATGAGGGTCTGCCACAAAGCACCCAAGCAGGAGGACCAGGGGCTCCTCATCTGTATTTTCTCTTGGCCACATAACTTTGGCCAGGACAGTGAAGCTTAACTTTCTCCTTAAGAAAACAAAGCTGACCGGACGCACAAGATAAACTAGAGAAGGACATCCATGTGCAGTACGTGTGAGCATTTGTTCATGTCTCTGACCTGTGCTACACCAGCCCACCCTAGGACCCACGCCTTTAGTAGCCTCACAAAAGTGTGGAGAGCAATGTGAGACAGACAAGCCTGCAGGCTTCAGAGAGCGGTGCCTGGAAAGTAAGAGACCAAGAGGCAGGGACTCCTGAGAAACAGACAAGAAATTGTTCTCAGGGACTTCCCACGGCCTCAAAATTCAGTGGAAGCGACAATTCGGTGGAATAACAGGGATACTGAGGGCTTGATCTGGTGGCATGTTCCTGGTGTATAACTCATTGGGATGACAAAGGGACCAGTGTTTTTAGCCCTGTCTTTGAGGGTTGACATGAGCTCCCAGGTTACAGAGACGAGGGAGACAGAAGTGTGCATAGTTAAGCAGTCTTAGGCAAAGGTGGTCTGGCTGGTCATCACCTCAGGACTGGTCAGGGTGCCCCTGTCTAAAGCAGTGATAAGGAAGGTGCTGTTGCCTGTGGGTAGTTTCCACTCCTCGTGAGATGTTCATGGATCAGACCTGTGATCCCTAGAGTCCAAGGGGACTGCCAGACAGAGTGACTCAAAGGCAGAGGTACCAAGTTTGTAACCCTGCTTTTAGTCGCTCATTGGACATGTGCAGGCCCATGTGAAGAGTCAGTGTTTTTAGTAAAAGTATCCCGAAAGTCTTTGGTACAAGGCCATACACCCAATAGCAAGTTGTATAAATGGAAACAGGCACAGGGTTCCCAACTGTTGTGGAGATAGGGACTCCGCCCTTGCCCAGAGATCAAGGGAAAGAGGACCCGTGGCCAAGCTCAGTGGAGGTCACATCCAAGCACTGGCCTGTTCCCAGCCCTCATGTGCACCCTTAGGACCTGCACGTACCTCTTCCACCCTACTGTGGTCCACATTCAGGCCCTGGGCTCCCACTCAACCAAAGCCCGCAATGGTAAATGCCCAAAGCACAGTCACTGCTGACCCAGCGACACCTGCCCTTCAGTGACACAGTTGGTACTTTTGACATTTGTTTAGGATGGAAAGAAAAAACTACAAGAATAGAAGAAATCGGGACTGAATGGCGAGTTACACACAGGAGAGTCCCCAAGGGCAGCTTGAGCTGGTCACATGGTAATAAAGTGCAGTGAAAACGGGTGTGTGTTTTCCTGGCTCCAGCTTGGATCCAAGCTCTGCCCACGAGGCTGTGCTCATGTCCTCGGGAGGCAAAGATCCAGCAGGTGCTATTGCTGCCGCTCACAAGTGGACAATCGTCAAGTGAGGGAGGTGAAGTGGCGGCCCCCCAAGTCACGCAGGGGCTGCTCAGGCTGAGCGAGGGCATGGACCCAGAAGCCAAGATCTGATCTGCCGCATAAGTGCCAGAGGCAGACGGTGCAGAAGAGCACAGCCAGCCCAAGGAGGTGAGGGTGGGCTGAGACTGGACTCCAGGTCCTGGCTGGTGTCTAGGGCTACGCAGCCCATAGCACTCTACCAAGGCCCAGGGCCTCTGGGAGCGGCTGGTCCCGCCCACGGCTCCCCCGGGACCGGCGATTGGCTCCGCGGTTTGGGGGCGGGGCCAGAACGGTTAAGGGCTGGAAGGCGTCAAGGTCACTCTGTTCGACTCTCTAACCGCCTTAGGTGAGGAACAGTGCAGTGCAGAGGGACTGACGCCCTCGCGCTGGCTCCAGACCCTGGTTGCCTTGCGCCCGTCGGGCCTGCTGTTCGGTCCTCCATCTTCTCTTTGACTCGACCTCAGCCCTGACCCCATCCACTCCGCGCTGGCCTTGAGGAAATACAGCCCACTGGGACCCCTCCAGCCTCCTTAGAACCCCAGGCTGGAGTACAACCCTTTGCCTCTTTTTACCGCATCTTCACACAACCCCTCTGGTAACCCTAATGCTCCACACAGACCTCCCGAAAGCCGTTCTCCTCCCAATCGCCACAGCCCCGTTGAGTTCCTGACATCCTCAGCACAGACATCGCACCTCTGCCTTCTTCCTTTCTTGAACGTCCCACCCTGTCGAGTTGTGACCTCAGCCTGCTCCTGAGACTTGATATATCTTCCTTTTTTTAAAGACAGGGTCTCACTATGTAGTTCAGGCTGGTTTCAAACTCACTATGTAGCCCAAGTTCCAACTCACAGCATCCTCCTGGCTCAGCCCCTCCAGTGTTGAGATTAGTAGCGTGCACCACCTGGTCTGGCTTTTCCTTTTTTCCATACTTAGAAATTGATACCTACTTTTTCTTAGCAGAGCAACTGAAGTATCTTATTCTTCCCTAGAAGAAATGCTTCCCATAAGACAAGGGACTGCTTAGAGTGTGTAAAGATAATCCAGAAATGGTCTCATAAGAATGGTAAGAAAAATCCTAATAATGAGCAAGACTCACTCTTTTCAATGGCAGAAAAAGAAAACACTTTTTTTAATTATAAAAAATTAAATTTAGCTACTAACTAGAAATTGCTTTCAAATAACCCATGGCTCCAACATACTCTAAAATGACTGGAGGGGAAATTTTTTTTTTTTAAGACAGAGTCTGTGTAGTTCAAAATGGCTTTAAATTCACTATGTAGTCCAGGCTGGATTTGAACTCATTGGAATGCTTCTGCCTCCCACCTTCCAAGTGCAGGGATTTAAGCCTATGCCCAGCTGAACAGAGAAAGATTTTATTAAGTGACTTTAAAATTCCTGTCACCTAGTAAATGAACACATAGGTAAATGAATAGATGCAAAAGAGACAAGAAACTGTGGGGGTGGCGGGGGGGAGGCTGTCCAAGAAAATCCAGTAAAGGGTATAGAGAGTTTTTGCAGACTTCAGTAAGACGCTTCAAGTGTGAAACCACAAAGCACAGTCCCAAAAGTTTCTCATTAACAGAGAGGAAAGGTTATTGCACCTTGCCTATTTACAAGCAAATATATGAGGATTTAAAAAACTCGATTTGATGAAAACCACCATATTAATTCTAAAGAAGTGCCACCTCCTGGAGCAAGAGACTCAGGTGGTCTTTCAGGAGGATTCCAGAAGAAATTTGCATTGTTATTAGAAGAAATAAACTTCTATGTGTGTTCCTGCCTCTGAAGACTTTGCAGTGGAAACAGAGGTGGAAGCTAGTGATACTGATGACCCTGGCCATATGTAAGGCTAGTTTACTCTGTGTGTGTTGTCTTAGTTTTAAATAAAATAAGATTAAGGTGAAAAAATAGAAAAAAGATTAAGAAGGTTATAAAGAAAATATTTTATATCTCTGTCCAACATGTTTGGTTTTTTTTTAATATACATAGGATTTTATTTTGCACTGCTATAACAATTTCATTATAGACCAAGGGAGAAAAAGAAAAAAAGGATAAAACCATCACACTGCGTAGATTACTAAAGCTTTTCTACTTTTTTAACAGGATATTCCATCCAGTAGATTTATTGTCATATTCCCTTCAAAACAGACAAGATGCTTACCATATCTTAAAGATTATACGTTGCCACTGAAAGAAAAATTTTACAGTCACTGTACATCAAGGTTGAGAAACTGTCCTGCATGAAAAATGCACTGAGAAATCATGTCAGTGAAAGAAAAAGAAAACATCATTGTGTTTAAGGAAAGACAAGTCCTCATAATGCGCCATCTAGGTGTGGATAGTCATTCTTCTTGGAGTAGCTGAGATGTAGGGTTTTCTTGCTTCTGCCCTTTCCGCTCATTATACTGTTTTTACACAACACTATTCATTAAGGCAAACAAACCCTTTTCAGAAGAGTTCTTAAGGAAAATGTGAACAAATAGCAAACTTTTGGCATTAAAACAGGTTAACACACAAGTAGCCTTTAGTAGTATATATTAAGCATATTTTTCTTGAACTAGTGACAAGAAAAGATGAACATGCTTATTTAACAATGTCAAAAAGTTGAAAATTCAATGTCCAAGCAATTCGTAACAATGCTTCTGTAGCTTTAAGCTCTAAACAGTGGAGAATTTATGCAAATGCATTAAAGAATTCAAGCTTGGCAAATTACACCCAAGCAGGTTATTAAACTATATATACAGAAAGTAAATGATAAATACAGAAATAAGAGTCCTTCTACTTTTCCTTATAGCCTTGAAAATTTACAAACTTTTTGAGGACAGTTCTGTAGTATTAAACATTAGGTACCCACAGGAATTGGAAAACCTAACTACACCAACTGATTTAAAATACTCAAGATGACTTTGTAGTGTTTAATACAATTCAGTTTGTAGTTAAGGGCACAAGACAACATTTAACAAAAATAATCACATCAATTGACCTAGAAATCAAATGCAAATAGATATGAATACAATCTCCAAAATTTGTCTTTTTAAGTGAACATTTATTCAAAGTTATACAAGAATTTGAAGGATTAAAGTCTTCTGTGACACAAAGACATCTCATATAGTTTCATGTCTCAGTGGAGCAGGAGCAGAGAGGGTGAAATAATGAGTAGTCCTACTTGGGCAGTTAGATAGTTAAAACAGACTCAACAGCAGCCTCTCCCAGCCTGCTGTCCTCCCTGATTGCCTGCATGTGTCGCATTAGTAGCAGCATGCTGGGGGCCAATTTGAATGCCATTTGCCTCGTTATTAATGTCAAAGACGCCTTCTTGAATTTTTTTATAAATTAATTTTGCTGTGTTAATAAAGGCCTCTTCTACATTGGAAGCAGTTTTAGCAGACGTTTCCATGAAGATAAGCCCATGTTCTCGCGCAAAAGCTTCACCTTCTTCTTTTTTTACTTCTAGATATCAAATCGTTTTTATTTCCAATAAGCATAATTGTCGCGAGCCGCGACGTCAGGATCCTGCCAGCAGGTCCTAAATCTGAAAGGACGAGGACAGAGAGACGGGAGGCACTTTTCTTCTCATGGCAATACTGCTGCTGCTTTATTACCGAATCTCTCCTTTTATACTCTCCAGCTGTGCGGCTGCAGGTGAGTACCGCCCACACATTCCGGAAGGAAACCGTTAAACCGTTACAGTTGCTAGGCAACAGATCAGACCACCAGTTGAACTAGCCCGTTGCTATGGGCGATGGCACGTCCACACTGCTCGGGTGAATCACAGGTCAATATGGCTGTGCTCATGTCACGCTCTTTTTACAATGCTCTCCATACATAATGACCATATTAGAATTGGAATGCTGGCGGGCATCCTCTAACCAAGTTGTCAAGTGGTTGAATGTATCTCTCCTTGTAATATGATATACTAGTAAAGCCCCTGCAGCACCTCTGTAATATGACCTTGCGATGGAACGAAAGGACTCTTGCCTGGCAGTGTCCCAGATCTGGAGTTTTATCTGTTTTCCATCAATTGTTATCATTCGAGCACCAAATTCTACACCAATAGTGAGGTCATGCACTGGCTGAAATCTCTTGTCAGTAAACTGTAGCAATAAACATAATTTACCAACACCTGTGTCGCCAATGATAATGTACTTTAAAAAGATAGGCGTACGCCATGGCCGCAGCCGCTCAGTGCCAGGGCACACAGCTCCTCCTCCTGCTACTGCTCCTCCTCCGCGCCCGTCGCCCCAGCGCCGCTCA